GGGGGGTGGGTGGAATTTTAAAAAAAAAATTCTTTCTTTTAATTCTATTTAGACGCTGCTCCGATAGTGATTTGCCTAACACAGAGAGATGTGCCAGCCGGCCCTCTGGAGTCGGCGGCGCTCGGGCTCACCCCTCTGTGCAACCCCACATTTCACTTTTCGCAAACTGCCTCACGTCGTGCCGGTGCGGTGCTCACTCCCCGTACTGTACTGGGAGTTATCCCCTAGCAACAGCCACAGCTCTGGCTTCTTCTGTTCAATCCGTTACTGCTGCGTGTCTGGAATGCTCTGAATAAGAATACTTGATGTCCAGCAGCATAGCGGAGGCATCTCAAATCCCGTTTGAGTACTGAGCAGAGTCTAGCATTTTAATTCATGCTGGCATCGTCTCAGATGTTTTTAAACAAGCCCCCAAATGCACTATTTGCTTGCCCCGGTCACAAGGCTTACCTCAGGTTTCTGTTCACCCGTTAAATTACTTCGTCAGCCTTGTTTCTGACAAAGCGACCTGGAGCCAGCCATCACCTCAGAGCGGCAACAAACGAGCACCACCTTTACTGAGGGATAGGCGCAGCGAACAGCTTTGCACTTCTAGGAACAGCGATATACTTTTCACTCAGGGAGCAGTAAACCTCTTTAAAGGAAACCTTATATTCCTGAAGCAAAACTCGGGGCTTTGCCAAATAGCTCACCTTGCTATGAGATTCACGACTCTCTCTCCCTCCCAACTGGAAGCGCCCTCCTTCTCCTCATCGCTGCCTGACACGCGCATCCCCGTACTGCAGCCCCTCCCCTTGCTGCCCGCCGCCCTCCTCCTCCTTCTCAGGCAGAGAGCCGCGGAACACTGTCCACGGAGGCTTTCCGGGGCATTATATTACCTCAAATAAAAATGTTCTTTGTCATGGGAAAAGCGACTTGAGGACAAAATTAGCACCCTCGTCAGCTCGTGCTGGGACTATCACCCCCCGCGCTGAGCTGGAAGGCAGCAGACATTTTACTACTGCTCTCTCACTTCCACCTAGTCGCCTCATTCAATTTCAGGTCTTTTCAGATGTAATAGTCCACAGTTTTGGAAAACGTTCACAAAACGTCATGGGAAAGCAGGTGTGAGCTCATGAAGTCGCTCGACCCCGGCCGGCAGGTGCGGGGGGTTCGCCTCACACAAACATCCGCCTGCGGCTAAAGCCTCCGTATTGGGGCTGTGCTTCCACAAAACCTTTTGAGTAAATTTTTCTGTAAGTTTCTCAAAAGTCTGACTTTTATTTACTGTGTTCCACAGGACAAAAGGAAGCTAGCCGTTTATTTAGATACCGTCTTCGAGATGCCAGTGGTGAGCCATGAGGCCACTCCTGATCAGGACACTGCAGGCAGGCAGAGGAGCAAAAGCCCTATTGCCTTCACATCCTCCCTAGCTGAATTTTAAATACCCAAACATCATCTGCTTCCTGCCACCATCACTTCTACACAACCCAGAGCCTCGCTTCTATGTGACCTCACCATTTCACAGATTATGATATTTGTGGGGATCCTCAGACCAATGCAGTTAATAGGAAACCAAGGCAGATTAAATACATTGCCTACATAGAAACATATGGCTAAATATAAAGTGGTGCACAAACCTCATACGTAAATAATATTTCTATCCCCTACACCACAGATCAACAACCAGTAAGATAGAGTGATGTGAGGATGCAGGGTGGGAAAGGGAATGTAGCTGTTTTGTGGAAAGCACAGCACTAAATAACCTCTTAATGAAGTCATCTCTAAGGCTGTTCTTTATTCCTAGATACCCAATTCAAAGTTGAAAAAGTTATTCTCCAAAAGAAAAAAAAAATCTTTAATAAGGCATTAAAATGTCAAAAAGGAAATCAAGGAGTCAGCAGGTTATTAATTAGTTTAACAACAGCTGATCTTGATCTAGAATTGTATTATAGGAATTTATTCTCTCCTCATTTGCCATTCAGGATCACAGTGTGGGTGCATGAGAGGTAAAAATGTTCTCTGAGTATATATTCATATGAGCCAAGTTCAATGAGGGAGTTCAGCCACAACTGACATCAAAGACAGCTAAACCTATTTGCATCAGGAGAAAGTTTAATCTGGTAACTTGAAACTACACACCAAATACTTAAGACTAATGAAAGTTCTGTCTTGTAACTCATTGAAGGCTGGAGTTAACCAGGCTTTCAGCAGAAGTTTCAGCAGCCAAAGGCCATTTAAACACTGAAATTCCAATATACTATATATATATAAAAAAATTGAGAATATATGCAATTATTTTCATATATAAATATATATACACAGTATATATGACATTCCAAACAGAATACTTGGGCATAAAGATACTGATGCTGAAGGGCCTGTAACTGTTTACTATCTGTGGGAAAGTACAAAGTCAGATTATTTGCCAGTCAACTGACTTCAGCAAATGACAGAGAAAGCCTGTTGGAAACAGAGGTGTTATGTCCCCCATCTGGGGTGGGCGGAACATTTATTAATTTTTATAATTAACTTTTTTTATAATGAACTGAGACAGCAAGATAAGTATAGACAGACAGACTGTATTTCTGTATATTAAATTTCTTTATGTTACTGGAAGTCTAAGGAGGTCAGTCAGAAGTCCAAAAAACTGCAAAACTAAGGGAAGATTGTTATCAAGGGGATAATATTTTTCTCTGAAAGCTTTACTGTAATAAACTCAAGAAGAGTATAGAGTATGCTCTCTAATTTTTTACATGGGTTTTCAGCATGCTTAATAAGGGGCTAGAATAATTATAACGTTAAGAAATTGGTAAAATGTAATTGGTTCATTCACACCCATGCTTATCTTAATTTTCTGCATGTAAAATCTGAGTACACTATATACAAAGTAACTGTTGTTCCAAAAAGCTGGCTGTTCCACCAAGCCCTGCAGGAGCACCAGGACTAACCACCCGAGGGGGTTTGTGAAGCAAAGCCTCTCCTCCATCCTTTCCCATCTCGGCTGAGAAGGCTGTCACGGGGTCCCTGGTTCTGTTTAGTTGTTAATGCTGTAGATATTGTTGTTTGTTTGCCTCGTTATACATACTAGTAAAGAACTGTTATTCCTATCCCCAGATCTCTGCCTGAGAACCCGATGATTTCAAAATCATGATAATTCGGAGTGAGGGGGTTTGGATTTTTTTATTCCACGGGAGGCACCAGCCCTTGCTAGCAGGCTGCTGTCTTCAAAACCGGGACAACAGAGGTCTCAAGTAGGAAGAAAAAATTAAAAAATGCTAAACCGTGCTTCCCTTCACTTTGGTGGCAGGAACTTGTCAAAAGGTCTCCAGACTCATAGGCTGTGAGCGTTTTCATTGAACCGATGGCTGCTCTTATGCCTCCTAGAATTGGTGACATGCAATCATTTACATATTCATTTTTATAATAGTATGAAAGCATGTATCAACTTGAGCTGTCAAATGAAGGAGGAATGCAATAGCTAATATGTAAGCTATGCTTTAGTGGATTGGTAGGAGATGTCAAGAGAAAAATCACTAAATACTGATGAGAACATCAATTTGAAGAACATCTATGGCACTAAGGATAGCATAGCTCCTTCTAGAGGCACTAAGTTCAAAATTGAAACTTCCTCAGCATTTCAGTTTCAGGGAAAACGAGAACTATATTTCTTTCATCCCCTATTGATGTACAAAACTCTCTCGCAGGGAGAGACTTCTCAAGGGTCAAGCTGCTCAGGTATAAGCAGTTTATTATATGGGTAAAGAGAGGGAGAGACCCGTGTCCGCCACCAGCCTCGGCATCCACGTGGTCGTTGGTGGGGGAGAGAGTGGGACGGGGAGAGCAGGAGAGAGAGGTTAAAGAGGGGGAGGGAAGAAACAAGAGCAAGAGAGGGAGAGCAGGGAGAACCAGGGAAGCTTAGGAGAGAGGGGGAGGACAAGAGAGGGGTAAGAGGGGGAAAAACCAAGAGGGTAAGTGCAAGAGTATAAGAGAGGGAGAGAGGGAAAAACAAGAGAGTGAAGTTCCTGTTACAATAGAATATATGTCTTTCTACAGTGAATATTCTAATTCCCAGTAACCAATCACTACGAGATACACCCACTAAAGAATTTACATATACCCTATAAGAATTACTACATTACCATACAGTGTTACATTTCAAACTCTAAAAGCTTCACAAATTCTTCCCTTGCTTCTTGACCTTTGGATTCTCTATGTGCAGAAAGACATTGTTCCATCATCAGGGATTCTCCTTTAGCTGGCTAGGCTATTGTTCTTTGGTCATATAGTAACTAGTACTCAGCATCTTATGACTCAAAGCAAGCTTTCATTTCTACTTCAATTCTAGGCTTCATATTTTCAGAATCTTCTGCCAAACAATCATATTCATAAGGTTTCCCTGTTTCATCCTCCCCAGCAATCCCCCCAGTTCAATCACATACTAGGTTTTCATTCAACCTTGAGTGGATTCATTGATGCATTCATTGGTCTGGACTTGGTATATACCTTTATGAGAAAAAATATTTTCTTTATGTTGCAGTAATTACCTAAGATTTATTGAAAATACTCTCCATTTTTTCCATCTTGTTATGAAATGGCTCTAATAACATATACCTACCTCATACTTATTCTTGTCATCCCAATAATCTATTTGTCTCAGTATAATATGGTTTAATGATTGGCACCTAACAGTTTTGTGACAACTGTAGTACAAAGTACTGCAGGCAGTACGAAGCAAAACACCTCCAACCAGTGCTCTTAAGTCAGTAATCCTATACTACTTTTTACACCCTGTCAATTCTTGAAGTGTAAGCAAGTTGATTTATGCAGCAGACATTGAAATTCTCAGAGAGCAGGAGATTATATACTTGCACATCATAATGAGCTGTAACAACTTGTTCTAGTTCAGAAACTTAAATTCTGATGACAGCACAAAGACTGCACAAAGACTTTACATAAATGAAGTCAAGCAGAATAGGGAAGTACAGGTCATGCTTCCTGACTTAACCCCTTTTACCTTCATCAGTCCTTTTTTTTTTTCGGTTTTACGCACACAATGGTTGCTGAAGCTTTTGAACAGTAAAACCCTTTCCCAATTAAATCACAAAGTGATTGAAACTCATCTACAATTTTGAATCAAACATTCTTCAGTTTCATGCAGGAAATATTTTCTTGATTTGAAAATGGCAATGTGTATCAATATCTATATGATTTTGTGAATAGTTTTATACCGACAATTCCTATTACATTTTTGCCAGATGTAAGTCTGCACACAGACCCAAACATGGCAAATAGACTGATTCTGATAATGACTAAACAGCAAGCCTCTTATAGATGAAAAACTATAAATGGCTATTAGACAAACATTTGAAGAAGTGTGTTATAGTTGCTCTGGGAAGAAGACACCTGAGACTGTTATGATACAGAGAAACAACATTCAATACAGGCTACAATAATTTGGTTATATCATTTCTTGTTGGGAAGGATGAAACAAGGAAACCTTATGAATATGATTGTTTGGCAAAAGATTCTGAAAATATGAAGCCTAGAATCAAAGTTGAAATGAGAGCTAGCTTTGAGTCATGGGATACTGAGTGCTAGTTAATAATTATCCAAAGAACAATAGCCTAGCCAGCTAAAGGAGAATCCCTGTTGATGAAACAATGTCCTTCTGCAGATAGAGATCCAAAGGTCAAGAAGCAAGGGAAGAATTTGTGATGCTTTTAGAGTTTGAAATGTAACACTGTATGGTAATGTAGTAGTTCCTATAGGGTATATGTAAATTCTTTAGTGGGTGTGTCTCGTGACAGTGATTGGTTACTGGGAATTAGAATATTCACTACAGGAAAGGATATATTGTATTGTAACAGGAACTTCAGTCTCTTGTGTTCTCCCCTCTCTCTTAATACTCTTATTCTCCCCACTCTCTTAACTCTCTTGTGTTCTCTCTTACTTCTCTCTTGTACCCCCCTTCTCTCTTAAGCCTCTCTGGTTCTCCCTGCTCTCCCGCTCTTACTCTTGTTCTCCCCTCTCTCTTTAAGCTCTCTCCCCTGGCTCTTAAACTATCTTTCTCCCCGCGTCACTCTCTCTCCCTCCCTGACCATGTGTACGCCGAGGCTGGCGGCAGATACGGGTCTCTTCCTCCCTTTACCCATATAATAAATTGCTTATACCTGCACAGCTTGACCCTGGAGAAGTTTCTCACCATGACCAAGTGTTCTGTACATCAATAATTTCTGAATTTGTAGAATCCTGTGAGAAATTCTTCTAAATTGCTCTTACTCTTGAAAATTCCACTAATATGAATGAAATGTCTGTTATTGTTTAAAATTAATCACTCAGCAAAACAGAGTAGACATAATATCCTGTAGTCACAGATTAATCATATGTGTATGGCTACAGTGTAATCAAAATAGTTTGTAAGCCACCCTCAGGTGAAATCTGTTCATTTGGGAAAATCCACAAATGTTTAAAAGTGCTTTGTATTTGGAACTTCAGATTAACTAGAAATATAAGTCAATCAATTAAAAGGGTAGATTAATAGAAAATATTATGCAAATTGTCTTTCCTCATGGTTCTTTTGAAGTACATGCTCTTCTCAGCTATGGTACTTTAGGAAAACACATCAAGGGAAGAAGTCCAGGCTCAGCTAATGGTGACAAACTATTGTCTTGAACAAATATAAGTTTTCAGTTCCTCATATTCAACCTCATTTTCAACCAGTAATATAGGGAGTCTACTGTTTTCTACTGACTGCACTTACTTTTTTCTGCACATATGGTACAAAAGGCAGTACTCTAACCAATAAAGCCTTTGTACATAAGCCCTACCAAACAGGTGCCCTTGCTCTTCTGATTTCCATCCATGGTGAAGCCTTGTTACTCTAGTTCTTAATTGTTGAGGGCTTTTTTACTTTGCTTTTTAAAAATTTAATTAATTTTTAATCCTATGACCTCTGATCACTAAGTCTCAGAATACTTCGGAAGCAATAACAAGGTAAGTGCCAAAGAAGATATTTTCCCTTGCTGTCAGTTGAAGAGCACTAATGCTAGAAAATTGATGTACTCAGTTTCTTGCTGCAGCAAGTGACAGAAACACTCTACTACTCTATCTACTTGATCTACAGAGAATTTAAGAGAAGGCACCAGTAAATTACAGATGACTGAGAAACAGCATTCTTTTCCAAACAGCCCAGCAATGTGGTATGTTAGCAGGATCACAAACAGAGAATAATATTTCCCTGCTTTTGTACTACTTTATTTTACAAGTGAAATTTCAGGCACTTCAGCACACAGAGGTGCCTGGTGAGATTTTGAAAGTAAATGATAGCTGCTTACTTCTGCGAGTTCCTCTGTGATCTACCAAATAGTTCTCCAGCTATTGCAGCTAACACACATTTAGAGGAGGGAGTGAAATGCTTTCTCTAAGGATGCACAGCAACAGTACTCTGAATTATTAAGCACCATACCCATTAACAGTACCACACATATACCTACTTCCGTATAAAAGCAGCCAACACCCCATCACACCAGCACATATTTGAATATAGTTTAAAATAAAGGCTTGCTTGTTTTTTATTTGAGTAGCAGCAGAGCTTTTAAGTAAAATGTACAATATACAAATATATATTAAATATATAAAGATACAGATATGTATATATATACACACAAAAAAAAAGTGTTATAGATAAAAATAGATTTATATTTAATATATAATATGAATAATACATGTATAGTTGTTAATAGAAATATATTTTAATATATGATGTGTGTTATACCTAGTTCAATATAGTATATAAATATGAATATGAATTTGATGAAAGTAGACATTAAAAAATATCTATTTAACCATTTAAGGTAGAGGGGCTTTTTTGTTTTTATTTGGTTAGAGGCAGGGCTTTTAAGTAAATAATATAAAAATAAAATATAAAAATATAAAAATATAAAAATATAAATGAAAATATACAAATCTATAATAAAGATATAAATATAGGAAGGTATATATATAGACATAAAAAAGAAATAAATACAAGTAATATAAATATATACAAGTAGATTAATATTTAATATGAAATATATATGTAGATGTTAATATAATATATTTTTATCTATATTATGCATTATATATGTGTATAAATACAGAATATAAATATGATAAAAATAGATACTAAAAACATTTAAATAAAGGGGACTTTTTGTTTTTTATTTGGTTAGAGGCAGAGCTTGTTAAGTTTTGGTCGGGGGTTTTTTAGGGCTTTCCTTGTAGAGGATTTTTTGGAAAGGGGTTGCACATGTTGTTTTTTGCCTCCCTTCTCTGCCTGTGCCCGAGGCACGCCCCCATCCCCGGGCTGATCTCGGCGGCAGTGCTGCTGCCTTGTGGCCACAGAGCGGTACTGCAGCTGTGCCCCGGGCCGGGCCGGGGGGAGCTGGGACCCCCTCGCAGGAGCCGGATTGGGTTTATTGCCACACTGAAGATGGCAGCTGGCCGGCAGGATCCCAGCAGAGGTGTCGGCTCCAATGCCTGGCGCCGCAGGTGTGGCCACCACCCAGCTACAGAGCCACTGAGCCCCGCCACCCTTGTTCTCACGCTGGGAAAGGCAGCAGAAAATCGTGCAGAGAGTGCCGAGTCGGTCAGCGTCGTCCGGATTTTCATTCAGGCAACTGACTTAGTCAGACATACTGGGAGCATCGGGGGCCTTAAAGGTGCCACAACAAAGATGTCCGCTCGTCCAGAAGTGGCTTTTGCCACAACAAAGATGGTGGCAAGAAAGGGCGGAAGTCACGTGATGCCACACACAAGATTGGCTGCGTGGTTGCGGCTTGCTTGACGTTCCAAAGATGGCGGCCAAAAAAAGCAGGAAAATGCAGGGACCTGGGGAGGTGGGTGTCTACTCGACTGCCTGACAAACACCCCGACTCCGACGCCGCTCCGGTGCAATTTTCCGCGGCTTTTCCAGCTGTGCGGACAAGGTCTGTGGGCTCAGCAATGCCGGGGCCAGGCATGATCTGGCTGGGCGCTGACAGGCACCGGTGGTGACGCCTCTCTCTGCCGGGGTCCTTGCTGTGGCCGCCAGCTTGGGTGTGGATCCTCCCCTGTCCAGTCCTGTCCCGTCCCCTGCTACTGCTTCTCTCGCTCTCCCCTCTCCCCTCCAGCTGGGGGAAATGGAGGAAAACACAATTGCATCGGGCCGGAACAGTCAGCGGAGCTGCTTGACCATTTCTCCTGCCCGCAGAGGCTCCCCGGTGCTGGGACTAAACCAGTCGGAGGAGGCACCTGCTCACTGTGCTGGAACAGTGAGAGGTGCGGGCAGGGTCGAGGCTTATCAACCTACTATATAACTGTAAGTATAAAATATATATATAAAATGATAAAAATATATATAAAAAATATTTAAATACTGTTTAAGATGAAGGGGCTGTTTGTTTTTTATTTGGTTAGAGGCAAGGCTTTTAAATAAATAAAACATAAAAATATACAAATATAAATATATTAAGATATAGAGAAAATACATAGACGTAGGAAATAAATATATGTATTAGTAATATATACAAATAGATTTATAATATATAATATGAATAATATGTATAGATTTTAATATGTATTTTAATATATGTGTCATATATATCAGTATTTTATATAAATATGATAAAAAATGGATATTAAAAAATTTAAATACTGTTTAAGATAAAGGTGCTTTTTGGTTTTTATTTGGTTAGAGGCAGGGCTTTTAAATAAATACTAAAAAATAAAAATGTACAAATATAAATATATAAAGATATATATATATACACAAAGAAAAGTAAATAAATGTAAGTAATGTAAATATATAAAGAAGTTGATATTTAATATATAATAATGTATGTGTACATGTTAATGTGATATATTTTAATACATTATATACTGTGTGTTATATATAAATTAATATAGTATATCAATTTAAACATTAGTGTGGTAAAAATAGATGTTAAATGTATTTTTTAAAAAAATTTTCATTTTTTTTGGCATTTTTCTTGGAGGCAATCCTCCTGTTGCAGCTGCTTACAGCACTGAAAACCTGTGTGCTTCGTGGTGTATATTACCCAGCTGAGAGTGATTCAGTTGTGTTTGGCACATTAAATCCCACAGAGCTGGGTGGGATAGCAGTTGGCCACATTGCCCGACCCTTTTAGCTTTTCTGGCTCACACAGAACTTCCTTTCCTTTTTTATATGGAAAACAGGGAAGAAAGAGTAGTGTAATATTAGCATTTCTAGCAGATTTTTTAACTGCCACTGATGCTCATTTATACCTTTGTGGTGTAGGTTTTCATGCTGACAAATCCTCTGCTTTACCTTCTGCTCAGAGACAGATGGGGCCTTTATTGAACAGATTTATATGCTACAAGGCTACAGAGAAGGATGGAAAGAAGGAAAGCAAAAAAAAAAATAAATAAATAGATGAAAGGCCATACATTGATCAGCTGATGTACTTCAGAGACAAACATGGCTACTACAGCTAATATGGAGCAGCCCTTCTGATCTTTTCAGTTGTATTCAGAGAGATATTTGCCTGCTGTGAATATCTGGGTGCTTGGAGTTCACTCTGTTTTTAAAAAGCCCATCAATAATAAAACATTGTCTTGGTATGAGAAGGTCTACTTCTGTAAAGTTGTTGCTCCATAGAAAAGCAGCATAAAGAGGTGGCTGGCTTATTTGTATATGTAGTTTTTTAGGATGTTTTGTTCTTTATATGGCATTAATTTCAAATACAAGCCTGTGAACTTTGTGTTCCCCTTTAGGGGCTGGTTCTGGGGTTATGAGGAAACACGAGGCCTACACGCTTCTTGCTTCTCTGTCTAAGGATCTGCCTCTATTGTGGCTCCCATTCTTCTGAAGAACACCAGCAGGATGAGTTCCCTTGTACAACTATTTATTGTTGTATTCTTGTTGTCAAACTCCATTGCTGGGTGGGAAGAGCAGGGGGAATTTAAAGGCTGTATCCCACTGTTGAGTTACTTCATCACTGAATTCTTGTACTCTCTTAAAATCATTACAAAAGGGATTTACACTGTAAGAAACACTTAACTGTAAATTAAGGTAAAGATCACAGTGCTAAAACCTAAGAGCAAATAGCCTTGAGCTCCTTTATATTCCCTCTCAAGCAGCTTTTGTGACTTCTACCTCCAAGGTATTATCAAATATCCCCTAGATCATGCAGTGGAAGAGATGCTGAACCATCAGCTGTTCCATATTCTACTCCACGCCATGTGTGATTTTACGTCTATGGCGTATTCCCCCTAAGTAGTCTCCTCTGCAGTGGGAAGAGTCCTGGCTCCATTGGCCGTTCTCCATGCAAAAGTTATACCATACCTTTGGCTGTCACCACTGCCAATCTCTGAACCTTTGTAGTTCAGCAGGACCCTGCAGGCTAAGTGTGGGTAAACCTGTTACATTGCAGTACAAATGACATGTTCTGAAAGAAGATACATGCTGTCTTCTTTCTCTGCTAATTCTTGAGACACAGGTTCCTTATTTGACCTCTGAGTGTTGTCTTGATGTTTGCATCAAACTGTCCTCATTCCTGACCATCAAGACCTTTAGTTACTAGATGAGGACAGGTTTTGGTTTTTATTTTTTTACTACACTCACTCCTATGTTAGATTTCATCTCCCACTTCATTGGCCAGTGAGCAGACTTCCCTAATTCTTCATGTTTGGCTGCTCTGAGGAATTTAAAATAATTATTAAGCTGTGTCACCTGATAACATGCCCTTCTGTAGGTTGTTTAGGAATATGGTGAAGAGACCTTTTACTTGTGACCTCCCTCTGCAATGAGAACCAAACATTTATCCCTGTTTCTAAACTTCTTTTTATCCATGCAAGAATCTTTCTGTGCTGAGTTTTCTTAAAAGCCTTTAATGAAGGCTGTCAGGAAATGTTGTTAGGCAATGCCAGTGATCTGTCTCTTACCTTCATGTATGCCAGTGTCTTCAAACTACTCTGATTGGTCTGAGCTCTGATATCCCATATCGCCCTTCTGGCTGGACAACCCGTTGTGTGGTCCTAGCACTGGGTTTTTACCCTTCAAGTGTGGTCCTGTAGTGGTTTAGATTTGCTAATTTCATTTTCCTGGCCAACGCACCAAAAAAATGTTGTGTTTTTAAGGCAGTAACTAAAAAATTAGTAGAAAACTTACTTATTTTTTGATGTGAGATGTGGATTAGAACAAGAGCAAAACAGGCTTAAAACTTAAAAGGAATAAAGAAAGTTTATTAACAGAACTACAAGAATAAGAAAACCAGAATAACTTCCAGAAAACCTTTCTTCCCCACTACTCAACCATTTCCTTGTTCACATGACAACATAGAGACAAAAAACTTGAATCTTTGGTGTTTAAATCAGTCCCAATGCCTATTAGAGTCTTTTCATCAGTCTTTGTAGAGAAACAGAAGTCTTCTGCTAATCTATGGAGTTTCTCACAAGAAAACTATTTCTGTTATAGTTTCTTATTTCTCTGATGCCAGCTGCCTGGAAATCTGCCATCAGTTCACTCCTCCCATTTCACATCACTCTGAGGTGTGTATGGGTCATGAGTCTAGGGATGTCATTTTTAAGGATGAGTTATTCAAAGGCAAAAGTTCTCTTCATCTGTCTCTGAGCCTCCCTGGAAAACAGAAGTTTTCTCTTTGCCTCAAGTGGCCCCAAATCATCAACTATTACTTCTCTCTTTCTGTTCCAGCACCTCACTGTATCACAACTACTCCACTGTTTGTTCAAAATCTACACTTTGAACACTCCATTCCTCCCAATATACTCTGTCATGAATTAAAGGAGTTCCTTCAGAACACTATTGTCCATTTCCATAGCTTTAACAGAAAAATATTTCAGCTTATAAAGCATCTCCTTATTCTCTCTTCCCCATCTAAAACTTAACTCTTTTCTTCACTGTCTTTGATGGTTTTATGATGTCTTCTTCATGTTGATTCTCTCTCCCTCTCTCTCTCTGGGAAAAAGGAGTAATCTGTAAGTCTCATCTAGGTAGTAAAAGAGTTAGTCTTGGAAAAGCTGCCGATGTTCATGGTGTCAGGTTTCAGTCCAGCAGCAGAAAGTGCAAACCCAGTCAGGCCAGCCGGCTCTGTTTTTCCGCCCCCCACCCTCTGCGGCCTTGTCCAGCCTGGAGGGGGGCGGGGAGGCCAAGACAGAGCCTGTTACCTCTTCAGAAGCTGGAAACCAATGCGAACAAGAGAGCCCTGGCTTTACATCTTAAGGTGGTGTTCACAAGTTGATCTCACTTCTGAATGGTTAAAACCACTGCCAATTCTCAGAAATGACCGATAATTGGTCAGGAGAAAAGACTCCCATCAGCCCCCAGCAGTTTCAACTTTTTTAGCTCCCAAAGCTAGGGAAGCTTTATCTTAAAGGTAAAGTCACCCTATGACAGGTCCCTTCAAGGAAACTTGTCAATGCATTTGGATTAGTAACCTCATTTACCTTCAATCTTCCTGTTAGATGCAGTGCTGCTTCTTCACCAACAGAGTCTATTCTGTTTTCCAGGTGATTTAGAGCCTTCCATGTAGGTGTCCAGCTGATTATCAGCAGTGATAATCCAAAGTTGATTGGCTATTTACTTCCTGTTGTTATAAGTGCATATTATATCATTGACTTTTCGCAAATATTAAAATGAATGTTATATGTATAATGTTAGAAAACTTTGCTGTATTAATATAGGTTTTTCTATTTCTGTTATAAATAAAACTTAGAAATAGTGGTATAAAATATATTGGGCTGTAGAATGTTATTAAAACAAAAACTACTTTTGTTTATATAACCCAGAGACTGAAAAAGATAGTCAGAAAATGTCCCCTGCATTCTTAGATTATCTTATCCAGATGAAGACAACAGTTCTCCAAGCCCTCCAAGGGAGGAAATTATTGCACTTCTACTTTCAGGGAGTGTGAAACCAGTGGCACAAGAGGATTGATCTATTGGGAAGGGGGCGAGTTAAAAATTAAGCAAAGAAACATCTAAAACTTAAGAGATATGTTTGAATCATGTCATGCGTGAGAATTCATAAATATGTAGTAGGGTTCTGTTTTTAAGGGACATTCCTTTGTTATTAAGGTGTGCCCTTGGCTGAATGCTGAGGCACTCGGCCGTATTTTGTACATTTTACTTTATTTCTATCTCCTAATTGTCTTTCCATTAAACTTCTTAAATTCTATATTATTTTATATAGAATGTGTGAACCTCGTTTTTCACACTGTCTCCTTGATCCCTTTGAGCAGAAGCATTTCTCTGTGTGTTGTCTTATCATCAGTATGCTCACAAACTAAATCTCCATCTCTTATGCTCTGGAAACTCTGAAAATCTCCTCTGCTTGTTGGAACTTGGATAGTGCAGTTACATTTCCAGTACACAATCCTGAATTGTGCTTATTTATAAGAAGCACCAGCTGCTGTCTACTACCATGCTTTTTGGTAGCATCTTTGTGTTCTTTGATTTGCTGTTTGACTGTAGGACATTTTATTGTACATGTGAAAAACACTTTCTCTGGGTTTTTTTCCACGATCTGCTGCTTCCTCCCAGAGGCTGTCGTGTGCTCTGAGGCTGAGCGTTACCACACAGGTCACTGCTCCCCTTTGGATCTCTCTCCCTGTTGGAAGTCTTATTTCTCCTGTAGCAACTCTTGCAAGGACTGTGAAGGGTGGTTAGCACTTGTTCGTGTTTACCTTTCAGAGTCAGGGTACCCTTTATTAAGGAAGAGAGCAGGCACAGGGAGTGTCATGGTTCCCTTCTCTCCCCAGCAAACTGTGGGTCACAATTTGCCTTGTAAAAAACTAGAATGTGCCTCACAGGAGCCTGCCCTTCATTCCCCACATTCTTTCTTGCAAATAGATCATGGTCTGTGCTTTATCCTGGCAAAGGTGCAAAGGAATATAATAATATAAATTCAGTTCCTAAGGGAACTGCACTCAGTTTTACAATTTTCAGTAGGTCAGTGACATTAGGCAGAGCTGAAAACCTTCTTCATGACCGCTATGGAGGGAAAGATTATTGGAGTGTAAGTATTTTACAGATAGCTTCTCAAGGCTTTTTACTTGGCTCTGCTGAAAAAAAATCAGTAACCAATGTGTGCTTCAGTCTTGCCTTGGTTTTCTAGTAAACTGTGTGTTCTGTTTCAGCAACATGTGCTAACATGGTTTTCAGGCTTCTATGGATTAATGTGACACAGGAATTTGTCCTGCTGTCTCATGCCTAAAGGCCCAGTGCTGCAGGGTACGGTGATTAGGACCTCCCCCATGTAACACATGTACAATCAGAAGGCAGCAGATTCTTACCTAGTCGACCTCAAAGATTAGTCTTTTCAAAAGAATGCTGCAAATTGCTCGTTATTGTCCCAAATCCCTCCCCATTGGTTTCAAAGGTGAAATTCCCATCAGTTTCAAGGCAAAGGACTATGGTAAAATAATTCCTGTCATAAAAGCTTTAAGAAAATTATAAGGTTCAGAAACAGGAAAATAGAACGTAATGAGGAGTGCTTGATATAGTTAAAATTCCTAAGAGAAGCTGACTCTCATGATACTATAAAACTACACAGACATCAGTCTTGTAACCCTCTGGCTTTTCACTTCGGGTATGGCATGTTATCAGAAGTGGACCAAACAGTAGTTTCCTAGGCAGGAGTTGTGCATAAAGAGGGTTCAAAGAAAGAAATGCAGCCTGGGTACCATATTTGAGTATGATTTGTCCTGTAAAAGCAGACATGAAGTCCACATGGCTCCATAAAACACATTTCTTAGCAGTGGCACTTGAAACATTGGCCCACTGGTTTTGCCTGATGTCCAAACAGATTTCCTCACTGCAGCTTGGACCCAGGGCCTCTTGTCTTTTTACCATGCTCCTCTGAGAAGCATCTCTCCCTTCTCTGTTTCTTTGCAGACAAGAAGGGAGAAATTGGGATTTCCTTTGTGTCTTGGTTCTAGAAGACAGGTGTCTGCTAGGGAGGGCAGGAGCCTCCCTTGGGATGAAAGAATGTAGACCCTCTCCGTCCGCATTATTATAATTTTGAAATCAAGGGGCTTTCAGGCAGAGATCTGGGGACAGGAATAACAGTTCTTTACTAGTATAACCAGGCAAACAAACAACAATAACTACAGCAATAAAAAGAAAACAGAACCAGGGACCCCGTGACAGCCTTCTTGGCTGAGACGGGAAGGGATGGAGGAGAGGCTTTGTTTTCACAAACCCCTTGGGCGGGCAGTCCCGGTGCTCCTGCAGGGCTCCAAGGAACAGTCGGCTGATACAGCAGGGATGAGCTGAGATCCTGGGCCGGTGGCTGAGGTGGATCAGCAGGGATGAGCTGAGATCCTGGGCCGGTGGCTGAGGTGGAACAGCAGCTCCGCGGCGGTGCCGGCAGGGGGTGCGAGGCCACCAACAAAGAGGGAAGAAGGAGAAGAAGCAGCAGCTCCATCTGGGTGATGGCGAAATTCCATTCTCTCTACCGCAACAGCTCCGCGCCCCCCAAAAAAAAGAATGTCTCTCCCCGAAGCCGAAGAAAGCCAACCAAAAACTGTCCTCACCCTCCTTTCCTGCCCCCTTCCCCCCCCTGGGCCCGGCCACTCTTTGTCCTTTATCGAGCACCCACTAAGTACCCACAGTTAGGTTGTCCCCACAACTAATGGGTAAAAATTCCACGGGCAAGCCAGAACAAAAAAGGACACCTAACCCCCAACATTATCCACCCTGAATTTGTTTTCTTGCCTGTTAATAAAAAGGCCACTTGTGGCTGTGAGCAGTGGCAACTGAATCACAGTATCTTAGAGGTGTTTATTTGCAGGTTAAGGCAATAATTCCTTTCTCATCACTGCTTGTAGTGGTTTAGATTTGCTATTTTTGTTTCCCAGCCAACGCACCAAATAAATGTCGTGGTTTTAAAGCAGCAACTAAAAAAATCACTAGAAAATTTACTCATTTTTTGCTGTGAGATATGGATTAGAACAAGAGAAAAACAGGCTTAAAACATAAAAGGAATAAAGTTTATTAACAGAACTACAAGAATAAGAAACCTGAATAAAACTTCTAGAACAACTCTTTTTTCTTTCACTACCTAACCATTTTCTTGTTCATATAACAACATAGAGACAAAAAACTTTGGTGGTTAAAACAGTCTCAGTTCTTGCTGTAGTCTTTTCATGAGCCTTTGTAGAGAAAAAGAAGTCTTCTTCTGTTCATCTATGGAGTTTTTCACAAGAAAACTATTTCTCTTATAGCTTTCTATTTTTCTGATGCCAGTTGCTCAGAAATTTTTTAGTCAGTTCACTCCTCACATTTCACATCACTCTGAGGTGTGTTATGGGTCAATTGAGTCCAGGGATGTCATTTTTAAGGATGAGTTATTTAAGGCAAAAGTTCTCTTAATCTGTTTTTGTGAGCCTGTCTGGAAACAGAAGTTTTCTATTTGCCTCTTAAAAGCCACAAATCTTCAAGTATTACTTCTTCCCCCCCACCCCTGCCCCCCTTTCCAGCATTTTACCCACTTCACCATTTGTTCAAAATCCACACTTTGAAACACTCCATTCTTCCTAATATACTCTGTCATGAATTAAAGGAGTTTTTTTCAGACCACTACTGTCCATCTCTATAGCTTCAACAGAAAAATTTTCAGCTTATTAAACCGTCTCTTTATTTTCTCTTCCCCATTTAAAACTTAATTTCTTTCTTCACTGTTTTTGATAGTTTCTAGTGTCTCCTTACATGTTGATTGCTCCCTCTCTCTTTTTCTCTCTCTGGGAAAAAAAGGATTAATCTGCAAGTCTCATCTGGGTAGTGAAAGGGTTAAAATCTTGCCCAGGCTTTGTAGATGGTTCTGTGATCTCTGCCGGAGCAGCAGCGGGAGTTGTCTGCGATGGAAGATTCTTCATGGCTGCTTTGGAGGGTGTGGTCACTGTCTCAGCCTGCCGCAGGTCAAGAGCTTTTTTTCTTTCCTTACTCAGCAGTTTCTGGTGAATTCAGTCACAGCAGAAACTGCAGCCGAGCCAGAGACTGGCCCGGCCTGGTTGGAGCTCGAGAAAAATCCCACAGGTTCTATTTCCCTGCTGGGAGCCACAGCAGGCCCAGCCCAGCCCAGCCCCTGCCCAGGCTGCATGGCCTGGGCAGTGGAAGGGAAGCCAGCTGGAGCTCTGTTACCTTTCACAGCCAGAGAAAAAGAAAAAAAGAAATTCCCAGGCTTAGGTCTTAAGGTGGTGTTCACATGTTGATCTCACTTTTCAATGGTCAAAACTGCTGTCAATTCTTAAAAATGGCCAGCTGTTGGCGAGGAGAAAAGCTCCCATCAGCCTCCTGCAGTTTTAACTTCTTTAGGTGTTTCTCTTTGTTTCCTAAATGCTAATCGATCACAGTGCTGCACTGAATTTCATAGGCACGTGTGTGACTAGATGCCTAATATATTTAAAGCAGGTTTTATTCTTACAGTTGTTTTGCACACTAAATTTCTTGTCCAGCTTTTGTTTCCAAAAGTGAGGTATAGTGCTAGGGTGTTTAATTTGGTATGTTACGTGTTCTGTTGTGTAAGTAACTGCAGCGCCCTCCCTGTGCCTGTGTATTGCAGGGGCAGGTGAGTATACTGGTTATAAAGGTGGTGATAATTAGAAATAAGCTATTAAAGCTTGGATGAAAGGTTAGAAATGATTCCTTAGAGTACTGCATAGATGTACCAGAAGTAACTGCATCCTGGAAGTGCTGTGTGTGTGAAACTGCACCTACTCATTTTTAGCTCATTTTTCTGACTCAGACTCTCTGCTCCTATTCCGACAGACCTGTCCAAGCATGGTGTTCGCTAAACACCTCCGCGTGGTGAGAGACGAGCTCGGGAAGAAATACCTTCAATCCACCGATGAGGCAGACAGGACTCAATACAAGGAGGACTGGACACAGATGAAGATAAAGTCCTTGACAGTCTGTTTATTCCCCATAACAAGTACTTCATTTGTGTATTCCAGGCCATGTGCTGCAGGGCACATTGGAAGGTACACAAGTGACTCTTCTGCTCATGTTGAAGTGGACATGCGTGTTCCTCATGCACCATGACATGAGCTAAGAGAGTATGCCGAGGTGGGCCTGACCAGTTGTAAAGGCCAGATCTTTGTTGCCCTCATTTCAGTGAAGGAAACTGGGATTTCTTCTTGTATTCAGCACCACGCGTGGGTGTAAAGTTCAGCTGCCACCTGCCAGTTGAGGATTGCTTTGGTCAAGGAGAGGAATTTTTGCCTAGGAAGATTTGGCACTCCTGTTTCTCTTGCATGGTGGAGGCCACCCAAGATCTAAATGTTGCAACAAGTGTCCCAAGCTACTTCCAGTCCGTACTTAAAAATTTCTGTCTCTGCGACTGGAGTGATTCTGTGCCTTACCCAGAGATGGTGCATTCTGGCTTTTCAGTGTGAACAGCGGTGCTCCCAAGTTTTAAAGTTTCAACCTTTCTCTTGTAGGTTAAGATGAGCACAGCTCTAAGTAGTCTATCTTGGGGTTCATCTCAGAAGGAGAGATTTCATTTGGGGTTACAGAGAAGACATGCCTTCCCTGCAAGGAGCAGTAAAGAAAATCCACAGCCTCTTGGAGAGGCTTAAACTTGAAAAAGTTTTTGTAGTCACTGATGCTGTTGAGGAAGGTAGGCAGATGGCAGTCAACCTGAGGATTGGTAACTGTTGACAATCAGTGCAGCAATTGCCGCTGGCTCCCCTCTCTGGCTGCAATGCTGTGGGTTTTGGCAGCTGCATTGTAAAATTTGTTGGTAGATTTTGGTGTCTCTTGCTCTGTAACTGCTTAGAGTTCCCTTAAACAACCACATTGTGTGGCAGCAGCGCGTTACTCTTCATAATGTAGAGATAAATTTGTATGCTTCCTTTTTTAAGAGATAGGATTTTTTGGAAGGGGATTGCACACATTGTGTTTGTTGCAGCTGTTACAGACCAACAGTACAAGTGAGGCAAACTTCTCTGGAGATAGTATTAATACCTTCTGTCAGACCGGTGCAGCTTGAGGGAGAAGGAAAGTGTCATGGGGTGGCTTTACCTTTAAGATAGCTTTGGGAGCTAAAAAAGTTGAAACTGCTGGTGGCTGATGGGAGTCTTTCCTCCTGACCAATTATCAGTCATTTCTAAGAATTGACAGCAGTTTTGACCATTGAAAAGTGAGATCAACTTGTGAACCCTACCTTAAGATGTAAAGACAGAGCTCTCTTGTTCTCTTGGTTTCCTGGCTGTGAAAGGTAACTGAGCTCCAGCTGGCTTCCCGTTCCCCTGCCCAGGCCATGTGGCCCGGGCAGGGGCTGGGCTGGGCCTGCCGCAGCTCCCGGCCGGGAGATGGGGCCTGTGGGGCTTGCCCCGGGCTCTGTCTGGGCCAGGCCGGTCTCTGGCTCGGCTGCAGTTTTTGCCGTGACGGAATTCACCAGAAACTGCAGAGGAAAGAAAGAAAAAGCTCTTGACCTGCGGCAAGCTGAGACAGTGACCACACTCTCCAGAGCAGCCATGAAGAATCTTCCATCGCAGACAGCTCCCGCTGCTGCTCCAGCAGAGATCACAGAACCATCTACAAAGCCTGGGCAAGATTTTAACCCTTTCATTACCCAGATGAGACTTGCAGATTAATCTTTTTTTATCCAGAGAAAGAAAGAGTAATCAACATGTAAAGAGACTTTATAAACTATCAGAGACAGTACAACATGTAAAGAGACTTTATAAACTATCAGAGACAGTAATGAAAAGAATTAAGCTTCAGAGAAGGTGAAGAATAAGGAGATGCTTTATAAGCTGAAATATTTTTCTGTTAAAGCTATGGAGAAAAAACTAATTTACTTCATGACAGAGTATATAGGGAGGAATAGAGTGTTCAAAGTGTAAATTTTGAGTAAAAAGTAGAGTAATTGTGATACAGTGAAGTGCTAGAACAGAGTAAAGCGAAAATCTGAAGCCTTGGGGGGCAATGACAAAACTGTTTTCCAGTAGAGCTCAGAAAGACAGATGAAGAAGACTTTTGCTTTTGAATAACTCATCCTTAAAATGACATCCCTAAACTCATGGCCCGTACACACCTCAGAGTGATGTGAAATGGGAGGAGTAAACTCTGATGACAGATTTCAGGGCAGCTGGCATCAGGAAAACAGAATTCTATAGCAAGAAATAGCTTTCTTGTGGAAAACTCCATAGATTAGTGGAAGAAAACTTCTGTTTCTCTACAAAGACTGATGAAAAGACTGTAGCAGGAATTAGGACTGTTTTAACCACCAAAGTTCCAAAGTTTTTGTCTCTATGTTGTCATGTGAACAAAAGAATGGTAGGTAGTGGGGGATAAAAAGGGTTTTCTGGAAGTTTGTTCTGGTGTTCTTATTCTTGTAGTTTGTTAATAAACTTTCTTTGTTCCTTTTTAAG